GGGTCGCATGCTCCATTGGCGCAGTTTTCATAAGGAGTTAGTAGAAAGATCAACCACTATAGCACGCACTGAGGCTCCGTGAGGTCGTTTTAATGAGTAACAAGAGGTTTTGCGAATCTGTGTAGTGCCGCCAGACTGGTACAGAACGCGTTACAAGTGACCCGTCAGTTGCATCTAGTTACTTTTTCGATAAAATACTAACAACGTAGTTACTTTTTTAAGAAAAAGAAAGAATAACGTGTTTTACAACTTTCTGGTGGAGTAACGGGCAACGGTATTTAGTTACCTCTGTAGAGGAACAAGTACAGCACAGTTTGTAGGAATTAATTTTGATCCCTGCTTGTTTCCGCTTCCTTCACGGAAAAATAAAAACACCAGCTAAACAGTAAAAAGGTTCACAAAGAATTACAGCATAGTCAAAGTTATCGGTAACATATCAACTCCTCTCTATTTTAGTGAATGATTCCCTTCATGACAAATAAGCCTCTAACAGACAAATACAACGGGATTCGTTCGATTAACCTATTGGTAGGTACCTTTTCATTCTTTGATTATCTGTATAAAAGTAGTGGCTAGCAATATGGAACTCTTAAAGATCTGACCACCTCATCTCAATAAACTCTGCATTTTCAAACGTCCTGAAGAACGCGAAATCAATATACAAGGAAGAAGCTATCTAAATTATATTTTTGACGCAGAACTACGTCTTTCTCCGCGCTGGGAAAGGGGTGCAAAGTTACGAGTCGAAATCCTGAAAACTTGGTCAGAAAGGTGACGTCAAAAACTTGATTTCAGTCAAGTGACGCCAATCAATGTCACGTGTCCTAACGGCACGTGATATGTACGCCGATTCAGTTTCCCCGCCAAATTTGGCGAGGAAATTGATGTAACGTGACCTTACGTCACGCGTATAATACACAAATTTAGCGAGAAGCTAAATTGAGCGGGAAACTTTATGTCATGTGACGTAGATACCGCTTGTGTTTCCCCAATATATTAGACTGGAAAATTAATGTAACATGACCCCACGTTACGTGACTTAAGCACCAATTCGTTTGCCCCACTAAATTTGACAAAAAATTTACGTCATGTGACCTCACGTCACTGATTGACCTATACATCAATTCAGTTAACCGCTAAATTCGGTGGACAAATTGATGTCATCTGAGCTGACGTTACGTAATATATGCACCAATTCAATTTCCCCGCTATATTTGGCACGAGAATTGATGTCACGTCAACTATAATAATCTTTATTTTCCCACGCTAAATTAGCGGATAACGTGACATCAATTTCTTCCACCAAATGTATTGGGGAAACTCAATTAGTGTATAGTTTACGTGACGTGAGGTCACATGACATTAAATTTTTCGTCAAATTTAGCGGGGAAAACGAATTGGTGTATAGATCACGGGGCGCCCGGTAACGTGACATTGACATTAATTTTTCCAGCCAAATTTAACGGGAAAACATAACTGGTGTCCAAGTCACGTGACATCAAATTTCCCGCTTACTTTAGTGGGGAAATTGAATCGGTTTGTAGCTTCCGTGACGTCAGGTCACCGACTTCGCTGATACTCGAGCCACCGGCATCCAAGTCTTGCGCACCCGCTATCGTTATGCGGCACGTGTCTATTGCACGAGCCCGTGAAAGTTTCTCCAGCTGCCACAAAAAACACACCTGGGACCAGTAGACAAAGCAAGGCCTCTCATATAACACTGTCCCTCTTATTTTTTGTGCCACCCACACGTACTTCTAAGGAAATTTATGCAGCATAGTAGACTTATGCACAGACCAATGTTTTAGCTAACTGAATGCAAGCAAATAAATTAAAAATAACGGGCAGATGTCGCTTGAGTTTACCCAACTTTCAATTACCTTCTTCCTCTTTTTAAAACAAAGTGTAGAATTACATCTGATTAATATGTGGTTGTTTGCACTTGGAAAACGTCGTTTTTCGCCGTTGCTTAAAACAAAACATTCAGGCGGTTATTTTTTGGCAGTGTGCAAATATGCTTTGAAGGAGTCTGATATCTCAGTCTCCTAAAGCCTTATGCTTCGAAAAACGCTAAACGGAATTATTGTTTTTCAATTAGAATGGAGAAACAATGGTCCAAGTACGTATCTCTTTCTGGTATTTCTATTATAAAGGTCAATGAAATTTTTTTTAAATAATTAATTCGCTGAGTTTATGTTTACAACATATATTATAACTAACGCAAAGCGAATGCAGTAAGAGCCCTGTATTTTCTTTTTAAATAGGCGACAAAATATGTTATAGAAATGCGAAACTTAATTAACGAACTTCAACTTAGCCAAACGCCGCTCTTATTTGAAACTATAATAGGTCGCACATGCGTGAAGTTATTAGTTCATCAATTTGAGGCTGAACGTACTAAAAGTAGAATAATCTAACTTTGAAGTTTTTCTTAGTCGCACTGCTCAAACGTAGGAAGTTTGTTATTTTATTAAAGCCAATGAGGTGCAAAGATATGTTACACAGTAGGTCAATTTTATTTCGAACTTGATGTATACGTCACTAGTAATATTTAGCCCGTCTCAATACATCTTTTTTCAAGCTTGGGGTATGACAGGCGTTGTGATAGGAAGTGTGTCTCGGATCCGGTTTAATCACTGCCGCCCTAAAAAAAAAGCGAGAACTTGTATTAGACACCGTTAACGTTAATCTTAACCACTATGTAGCACGAACACATTTCAACCATCTTTCATTCCCAAAACGTCTTTGGATTAGAACCGCCTTCCCACCTCCATCGGCATAATCCAGGCGGATTATTTATTTTAAACTGCTGTTTCTAATTTCTATTGTTCATTACTAATATGTGCTTTGTCTTTAAGTTATTTAATGTATAATTTTTTTTGTTGAATACAGCCCACTCGCCTCTGTAATGCCGTTGGCCCTGAGGGTATTGAAATAAACAAAATAAATAAATAAATAAATAGGACCATGCAAATCGTGGCACCTGAATAAAATGCGCAACAACTTTTTTTTCTGTGGCTTTTTTGTGTTTTGGTTTAGTTTTTACTTCCAGCATTTAAACTCCTCCTTTGCGGTGCAATTTTTATTAAGAAATCCCTGCGAAAATGAAATTATACGCGACCAAATTTCTAAATTCGTCAATGATGCTAGAGCTTGTTGGCAGCTTCAAGCATAGGTGTTGAAAAAGCAAATTTAATAGCTACAGACTGATTATAATTGTGTGTGCATTCATACGCTTTTGGTAATTGCTGCCATTTTGCAATTGCATGTAAACGTTCCTTTGCAAAAAAAAGTACACATTGTAAGAAATAGGATTTTACAGACGTTATTGGTCTTATTGTTTTACATCGGAAACTAAAAAAATACCATAATTACTTCGCATAATTGTAACCACCCGTTTTAGTATTCGTATCGCTTAAAATATTTAAAATGATTGAGGTACTAATTCGCAGCATGGAACTGTCGGCGAAAAACACAAATACATAAAAATAAATGTCTATGACAGGCTTAGATAACGTAGACGATTGTCTACGTTATCTAATTGTTAATTTTTTTCTCACATCTTTTCTTTTTTTTTGCTGTTCTGCCGCTGCTGATGTCGTGATGTCGTGTGGGCTTGGAACCAGTCAAGCTGTGCTAACAGCTTTTTTTCCAAGCCGCCCTCCAACCTGTACTTTGTTGGAAAAATAAACTCCTATTATTAATATTATTATTGGTCTAGCTGGTTTATTCTTAAGAATGTAAACAACGCAACCGTAAGAACTGAGTAAAAGAAGCGCTGAAAGTTATTTACATGACTGATAGTGTACAGCCATGAATACCCTTTCTAGTAATCAAGACTTAACTAAATTTACACCTACAACTAGAACCAGCTTAGTTATATTAAATAATGAGAAGGACGAATAATATAAAATATGAAGATATGTTTCCCGCATTGTCTTATTATTTTGCTCTGGCTTTTGTTGCAGCTCAATATTTGATTAGAGGATTGCTTAGTTTCGGTATGACGACTCTCAGTATTGACACGTACCTTCGCAGGTCCTACGAATGACAAAATATAATTTTCAAGGTTAAAATTATATTTTGACATTTTACAGCCTGTTTGGTAAATATATTCGGGAACGCCTAGCAATCCTGCAGCGCACGTTTCTATAAACTATGCTGTTAGATTAGAGCCTATTAAAATGACTGTACTAGAGCAGGTAAGGAGGTGTTTTAAACTAATCTGTCAGAAATTACGTGCTCAAGAAATCGCTAACATATATGAACGACAGGCGAATCCTTTATAATTGAAACATGCCAGATCAGGCGAATATTCATGAAATTAATTAGAGAATCTTAATTCATTCCATTGCCACTCAATACTTGTCATTTGTAACCTAACATCCCCGGAGTTGAGTAGCATATACCTCAAAGGAGTCGTATTTATTTCAGCTATCCATTTATTATACTCAATCTTTGGAGGCTCATTTTTTGTTAGCGTAAACACATTTTCTTTTGTATTTTCATAACAAGACATGTTTTCAGCAAAACAACTAGATGTTCAACACACTTCGAAATTTAAATATAATCGTTTTGTGACATTTCAAAAACCATGTTCAAGGAACCTGAAATTAAACGTTTGCCAGCTGTTGGAATAAAAGACACAAATATTAGATTCAAATAGGAGTGTTATGTTCACCAATATGAACGACATAGTGGGTTTTATTATTGTAGCCTACGTTAAGACGAGTCCAAGACGCAATGATAGATGTCGTTAGGGTGTAAAATATGTGACTCCTGGATAAGGCCATAAAGGCAATGGAAGGCAGGAACAGTTAATTGCTATGTATGTTTAGTCCTTATATAAAACAGTTTATTCTTAGGAGTACCATAACTCATTATTTCTACTATGAATATAAAACTTGAAAATTATATGAACATAAGACTAAAGCAGGACATGGTCCCTTTTTACTCGCACATCGATCTTCACACTCCTTTTCGGAGTAAAACCTATTCAATCAAGGGCATATGTGTTTGTTATCCAAGACGCACTTATTCTGGCACAGATTAAACCGATTATATACCACAACTGTTTCTTTGCAATGGCGCAACTCAGGATCTGGGGCGCATATTTTGTCGACCGGATTTTAAGAATAAATAATAGTTATATTACGAATGAATCTCACTTTCATAAACATAAATCACAGGTCCACCTCGAAACAATTGAACTCTTCAGTCATTGCTGACAATGTGGCTAAGAGAGTTGCGTTGACTACCGCTAGTTTCATTGCAAAATTCCATGTTAGTGTAAAACAATAAAAATTGACACCGGATTTAATGTATCAAAAATTTTCTCAATGAGCTTATAACCTTCTCTGTTGCTGTAGCTAAAAAAGGTATTTGCTGCTTTCAATTGCATAACCTTGCCAACAATTTGTCACACGAAGATATATGTAAAGGTTTGGTAAATGAACCCTGCAGCTGAGATTTGAGAGGTCATCGCATCCTTATATTACGGATTTTGCAGTTTTGTGCTGTGCTCTCAACACCTTTCATTATCATATACATACCATAAGGGGAAGGTTGAAGCGGAAGATCTACCAGATAGTCAAATACGACCAGTCGGAAGGTGAAAGGAGTGTTGGTTTTCTCTAGGCTCTATCAAGCGGCTCTTAGTACAGTCCATGAATGGCCTTGCTCGTTTTAGCATTGACTACCAAGTTCTGTCAGTTCCTCACTCCATTAGTTTATGGTGAATGCACAGGACCACCATTTTAGAGCTATCGTTTGTAGCATCGCGTTGTGGCTTGAAACAAAGCTTCATAGTAGAAAAACCCAGAGACAAAGAGCTAAAAATGACAAGAACCGCACCGCCTCAAAACTAGCGCGACGATCATTTTATTTGACAGTCTTCCTTCTTCTTTTTACATATCACGAACGCGACCCTCGGTCATCGGCAGGCACCACATTTAAAGGTCTCAACCAAAAGACACATGCATGACTGCAGTCCTAAGCGTTCCGTGATTACAACACTAGACCCGCAAAAGCGGCGGTGTCTCATCGTCCAAAACAAACCTTAGCTCCCAAACAACGGTTTGGTACAATTTCGTAATAAACAAAAATAAAGAAAAAATTAAAAGAATTAATTCTGCTAGACATAGAAAATAGACTAGAGAGACAAGAACTTTCGTGTTTCCTCATCCAAAGTCAAAGAGGTCCTGCTAATACAAATTCCGGCGCTTATAATCCTAAGTGTTTCCTTAATAACTCTCTTAAAAGCAACTTCTTCTTTACTAACAACAGTAGTCCCAGCCCAGTCTGGGTAGCAATTATTGCACTCACTGAGATGGTTTACTATTTCAGAATTGGCCGCACAGAAGTTAACCGCTCGACGATGAGACACCACCGCTTTTGCGGGTCTAGTGTTGTAGTAATCACCGAACGCTTAGAACTGCAATCGTGCACGTGTCTTTTGGTTGAGACCTTTAAGCGTGGTGCTTGCCGATGACCAAGGGTTGTGCTCGTGATTTGTAAAAAAATACGAAGGAAGACTGTCAATTGAAATCATTGTTGTGCTGGTTCTGAGACGGTGTTGTTCTTGACCTTTTTAGCTCCTTGTCTCTAGGTTTTTCTACTATGATTCGTCAACAGCTCGATTACGTCTTGACTCTAATTTCTTTAAAACAAAGCTTCGATGTTTGTGTACTCTGATAACGTTCAATGGTTATAAGTGCAAATATCAATAGCTATTTTTGAATCCAAATCGAGCAAGTTTCGCATAAAAACAACCGGTCCAATAAAACATAAACCACTTTGGCTACGAAGTTTTTAATATATCGAATTTGTAATAGAGCACAAGTAAGCATTTATCCTAACTACTTTACCGTCCCTTTAAACTTCATGAAAATTGAAAGCTGATTAGTTGGTGCCAGTAATCAGGCCATTAATGTGTAAGACATACTTATTTCTTTTCGGTTTTTTAATGCACTAAATACGTCACCTAGATTTGCTACACATTCCGTTTTGTATAAAACTATGAGCTTTTTTCGGTTCCCTTGTAAAAAATAAATTCGTTCCTTTATTTCGCCTATACGAGATCCGATTAGTACAACGTTACGTGCCACCGCGCTTGACTTCAGACAGCATACAAAATGTTATATTAGTTCGAAGCTCATTGACCTCCTTTAATATGATTATCCACTCGTAACATTGTTACTAGAGCAACTACATGCAGTCATGTATATGACTTACTTTCGCATGTGTTGTAGCACTCGCTTTGGTTGTAGAATCCGATGCCGTGATAATCGCAACCAAAATAGGTCTTGCACTTTTTTTCCTTTCGGTCGAAAAAATAGCGATTTCCATATTGGCTACACATGCCGAGGTCCTGTATGGGCAGCTTGCATTTGTTCTTTACAAATCCTTGTTGAATGCAACGCAACAAAACAAAGGTATGTATTAACAATAAATTAGGCATTGACAAATCAGAATATCATAGCAGAGATCGCTCAATTGCAATTGAATCTGCAAACGCCGCAAGGGCGTTCTTCATGGGTAGCTTAATGAACAAGCTCTGCGTTAAAATTCTCAGATTTAAGGTTTAGAAGAATAACTTAGGTCTCTTTCATTGTCTTTTCGTGGTTTCTAAAGACGAACTAGTCAAGATATCCAGATAAAATAACAGTTCTAATCTAATGGGATGTTCCTTAGCCACCAAAACACGACTTTTTTTGCAGTGCTCGAAATCTAACGATTTTCAACATCGCCTTAGTATTTGTTTTTCGTTGGTATTGGAACAACTACCCCACCTCACCAGTGCGGTTTATTTATCCGCATAATTCAACTGAGATCACCTTGTAAGCTTGCGATTAACGAGGTATGTGCCATTTCTTTCTACAAGTATGATTCCTTTATTAAAGTAAACATTTCGGCGCTCCCTCTTTCCTAAAAAACATATTTCAGTATATCTACAATTATCAGTCGATAGGAAGGGCACTAATCTGCGTAGAAAAGAAAATTAGTTCCCTGATCTTAGGGGCTAAATAAATTCGTGGATTCAGGTCAGAAGTCTTGCATGAAAAGAACCTGTCTTGGTTATATTCATGGAAGTGCCAGTCGTTTCTTTTACCGCCATTAACAAATGTATTTAAGAAAGCTAAATAATAAAGCTATAGAACTACGCCGCAGACACTTCAGCCTTTAGTAAAATTGTGAAAGACAGAATTATTTCAGGTAAGCAGTTCATAATAACAGTGATTAAGTACTTATCTAAATACCACCATACAAGATTCAGTTGACCTGCACCATTTTCATCGCACGCTTCATGGCAAACTTTAAAATTATTTGTCTTTTTCTCTCACTCCTAGATTTTTTAATTCAGTAGGGAAGTGATGTTTTTAACGCTAACATTAATTAATTCCGCGCTATCTAAAAAAGTTGAGCCATTTCTATCGTACTATAAGAGGGGAAATACAATGTTTAAGGGCACAAAATTAAACATAAAATTTGTAAAGAAATTAACCTCCTTCTAGGTATTACAGCTTATACAATATTATCGTTATTTCGATGCGATAATCTAACAAAAATATATTGATTATTCGATGAAGCGCACGTCAGCACGTGGGAGAAGGTCACACAATATATAAATAATGTATTTTGCGAGAGCAGCAGTTACCGTAAACGGGAACGTCTTTTATATAACTGTTGTAGCAGGATGTACCCGAAACGTTTGATTTAAAAAAGGTGCGTGTATATACTTAAAAAGAATTGATCCTGACTGATTCGTACTTTTCCAAATTTTTTTTCTTTCAAAATGCAGCGTTTATTTTTTGCAAAATGAAAGCCGATATTAGGCTAAGATTTATCCTAATTATACCCCTAGAAAGTTTTCATTTATCCAAATAGATGCTACTTTAAAGATTCGTTTCAAGTGCTGCGTACCAGCTCGGATTGCTCTAGTGATGTGCTTTCACATGCATATATTGGCATAAATTATACACTACCAGAACGGTTCATGACTATTTAAAATGAATAACACACGTTGACTTCAAATATATTAGAAGTAACGCGCAAATAAATAGGGCACGGGGCCTATCTTACTTCCACAGCGTCCGTAGCAGGCATTGAGGGTTAGGAATGCGTTCTTTCCTCCTTCGCATTTTAGTGATTTATCAAGATAGCAACTTTGGGTAGTTCGATTGAATCGATAATAGCTGGTGTCTTTGTGCGTGCATCCATGTTCACTGGGTAGCTGTGCGCAAGGACCGTAGTCGGGATCTGTTAAACAAAACGGTTATGCGATTTGTAAAGTTTGCAATTCAACCGATCACTTTAAAATCAATTTTTGACGACAAAAACAAAACAAAAAAACACTTGAGGTTACACAGGATTCGTGACAGTGTGCACTTCTAAAAATTTTAATAATTTTCAAATTTAAGTATTCATTAGTAATGTTCAATTATGTGTTCTGAGCAACGTAGTGGCAAGCAAAGGTGGAACGTTGGAATATTCGAAGTCCATACCATACACCTTCGGCCTCAAAGAGGCTGTGCAATGAAATTGCGCCAATTTTATTGTCTAAATGTTAGCAACACTCCGGCCGCACCACAGAGAAACCAATGTTTTGCTCCAAAAAACATCAAAACATTAAATAACACGAATAAACCTAATGTCGCTTCGTCATACTAATGCGGGTCCAGTCCTAACTTGGCTGAACTGGATTTCCCTTCTCTCCCGCGCATATTTGACTCCCGCGGGGAACGAGGAGTGGGCATCCCGAACGGCCCAGTGTTAACGCGTTGACGGCACCATGCGGCGAAGCTCACAACCACGCCAGCTTCCCAGTAGCTTTCCCCGTGAAGTAAAATATGACGTCACAAACACCCTGAGGGGCACCGTATCTCCCGAAACGCATTGCTATCTCCAATGGCTGCTCTCAGAGCCGATTCCAGCAAGGGCTCTTAGAGCCCTTGCTGGAATCGGCCGTTTGGAACGAAGAGCCCTTAGCGAAAACATATTTGGGGGGTCACGTGATCTCGCGGTTACGCCGACGGTTACGCCGACGGCGACGCCGACGCCGACGCCGATGCCGCTCAAGCCGGAAACGGGCCCCTAAGAGCTGCGCTCTAAAATATAATGTACGCGAGCTACAAGTGTAGTTACACGCGTTTCTCGTGCTGGCGTTTGCCGTAGCAATTGTTCTAAAGCAAAAAGTCTCTAACAAATGTTGCCTTGCACGCGCGTTTGTCAAAGGCTTATTATGATTATTTACTTCGAATCTTTTATAAGAGGGAGGCCAGCACGCGCGGATTGTAGAATTACACTTCCAGCGTTCTCCCTGATGCTTGGGTTATTTAAAAAAAGGTCTATTGGGACACTGTCTGCTTTTGTGTGCTATCGATACCCAGCCGATTGAGTCAAGGCAATCCGCTTTCCAAAGACGTTGCCATGCCGACAATTATCGCGTTCATCTAGGCTTAGGACTGACCAGAATCGAAAGACTATCTTAACAATGCGGCGAGGTCATTGTTCATGCTTTGCGATTTAAGTGAGTTAAGGCAAAGCGAAAGCCTCCTGCACCATTTGTTGCTGACTAACGCGCCCGATATTGCAGCTACAATGACATATTAGTTCCAAAGCGAGCGGCACTCACTCGCCGGGGCACCGCCATGTTTCCCCGCATCCCTACCGAGCCAGTCACGTGATTTCAAAATCCCTCTCCTAGGTCCTGCGGCTAACTTTAGCCGCGGTTAGCGCTTCGAGCAAACGGGCCCAGGTTCCTGTTCTACATGGCACGCGACAAGGCAGTGGTGGGATCGCTCAACGCAAAGCCGAAGCTCACCAAGATCTTCTCAACAACGATATCTGCACTTAAAAAAGAAGGGAGTAATGCATCCTCCTTTAAAGGAGGAACCTGGCTGCCCCATATACTAGTAAATCAAGGCAGGAAATCTCTTCCTACAAAACGGGGAGACAGTTTGTTTCCCTAAGAATGGAGGAAGGTTGCCACGTATTTTTGCCTAAGGAGGAAAAGGTGATCCCCTGCAAAGGGAGAAAAGTTGCCACCTTTTTTCGCCCAATGGAGGAAACTTTCTCCCCTCGCGTAATTAAAATAGCTTCCACCAGATAGCGATCAAAACGGCAAAACAATGTCGGAGGAGCACCAATTTCTTTTTTAGTTCCCCCGACTGCTGAACGCTACGTGGGAGATGCACACGCCCTTCAAGTACCCACCGCCCTCACGCACTCACGGTCATCACAGCCCTCACGATTTTCACGGTCCTCACTCACCCTCAAACTCATGAATTTTCTTGGTCCTGAAACAAACTCACTCTCACCTCACCTGTGAAGATGAGGGTGAGTGAGGGCCCTTATGAGTGAGGTTTGCCGAGGTATGCCCCAAATAACTGTCTGCGTGCAACCCAACGCGTAGACACCACGCAACTCACCGCGTGCAACGCAACACTACGCAAGCTACCGCACGCACTAAATCACAAGCCAGCAGCCGACGCGGGTCATTCAGCATTACTTAATATTCACTTCGTGCCACCTTTCTCGCTTAGCACTGCTAAAGTGTGTGTGTGTGTGTGGGGGGGGGGGGGGGGGGGGAGGGGCTTTGTGGGGGCTTGTTGATTTGCACGACGCCGCACACGATTAGGACTCCCGCACTTACGAAATTTGACCGCCCACGCACGAGAGATACCCGGGAGTAGAGTAATTATATACGCTCTGCTTGCACCCTACACAATCCCAGAGCCCCAGCTGCGCTGCAAAATAAACATCGGAGCTCCCCACGAGAGGGCCCTACTGAAGAGCGAGGCAGAAGAAAGGACCTGCTCTAAGGCGTCTTCAGAGACGAATCATTCGCCTCGAAGCGACTCACCAAAATCCTTATTCTGTTAGAGTTCTGCACAATTTTAAAGCGCACGTGCAAGAGCGTTGGCGAAGCGTTTGGGTACAAACCGTTGGCACCAAAACGAGTTATTAAATTCGTGAATTAACGAAAATGCGGGCGGTGTGTGTTCCTATAGGGCGGTTTAAATTTAAATTGAACACACGTGTACGGGTTGGTATTTTTATGTGCCCTAAAAATAATATTATATATTATAGACCCATTGCCGTAATAACCAAATTCACTTTTTAATGTTTTTTTAATTATTTTTCTACAGACATTTTTTTTTAAGTGGATCATTGTGAAATGCTACGTTTAGACTGTTTGATTTTTGTACTCGTTTGTGTCGGTTGAAAACACTCGCCATAATTTTTCTTGTACATTTATGGCGCGTAGCCTAATTTTACTTTAAAGTAAATTGCCTTGGCATATTTCATGACAAAATAAAACAAAATTCCAAATATTGCATTCTTGTGCTTTTGTGTCATAACTGGATTGTTGTACCTTAGGGATCATTATACATCTTGCTTATTAAATACTATACGCTTGTAGGCTTATATATATACTATCGACCGCTTCATCTTTAGTTTCGTTTATTTTCATGAAATAAGTTTTATCTATTTATATATCTTATCTCAAATTAAAGTTAGCCTCGATTTGAGCCAGCGTTATTAAAGAAATGTCACTTTTAATTACCTTCTTGGGTTTATATATTATTGTCAATAATGTTAACTTTCTGTGCGCCTAATCAAAGTTCATCCTTTTCTAATTTCTGTGTGACTCCGACGGGCAGGCGAGCTGGTGATAATTAATCTAACATAACGTCTGAGACTGTGGTTCAGACAAATTAAAGAACCTTTAAATAGAAGAAAAAGACAGCAGGAGTAGAATGGCTCGATTTCTTAACGCATCTAAAATGAATCCAAACGTCCTTCTTTCAGACGTTGATTTATTGGCATGTTTTTATTCGACTTGAAAGCTGCCTAATGTTCTTCGAACCACAGTCTCGAGTCTTCAACCGCAATGTGTTTTACTTCTTTCTTTTTGCGTGTGTGCGTGTGTGTGTGTGGGGCGGGGGGGGGGGGGGGGGGGGGAAGGTGTAATTGAGTGGAGCTGTATATTTTTCTTTACCTCAGTTAGTACATAATATTTCTTTATCTTTCACCTCGTCTATATACCTATGCTGTTAAAAACCATTGGAAAAAATCTGCAACCGCCAGGCTTTTTTGTTGGAGCTATCATTCCAGTCCTCTCGGTTTTTACAAAGTTATTTTGTCCTGTTTTATCAATGGCCGTCATTCACAAATTTCATTAAGACTCCTCACGATGGTCGACATAAAATAAAAATGTATTGAAACTAATGTCGTATACCCAAGTGCTCAAGAGAACTCAGGAAGGCCATCCTCGATGTCATGGGGGATCACATAAGAAGATCTGGTACTCATCACCTCATCTAGTCGGCTCAATAACCTACCCCAACCCCTGTAGTTCCAAACTTACAGCCCTAACTTACTCCGTCGCCCCTTCCCCTCCCAAACACGTCCGAATTTTCGGGCCAAAAACCTCCAGAAAGCCGACATGTGAAACTACTCGCCGATTCGGGTGCATGCATGTGTGTTTAAGTACTTCCAGACAAAATACAACAAAAGGGAAAGCACAGAAAGTTATCATGATTGAAAAAAATATATATAAGAAAGAAAGAAGATATTTGCTTGTTAATAACGCGGGCTCAAATATGGCTAAATGTGCATTTTGATGAAGATGAAATTTTATATACTTTATATTGCGAAAATAAATTAAACTGCTACCAGTCATAACACATCTTTAGGCATGTAGACATATGCTCTTTAATTAGCAAAATACTATTTTAATTCTCACATACATGGCCGCAAATATGTTAAGAAAAAACGTAAAAGCGCGATATTTTCCGTTTTTAATTTCTGGCCTAACATACGCCAAAGCAGTTTAAATTAGAGCAAAAATATGCGCTGCGTTATAGATTTAAGAGAATAATTTCTGCGATTGTTTTCAATTTTACCTATTATTAGCCACCTTCAGAACCGGGTTCAAAAGTCAAGCAGCCTAAACGCTGTATTTCACCCTGCTCCACCTAGTGTTTATGACGGCAAAGCATTTTTCTAAAAGATATTAAGTTTTTTTTTATCGAGAGAACTGGGCTATAATATATATATATATATATATATATATTTAGGCAAATCAAAATACCCAACACAAGCCGCGTGTTCCTTTCCAAATAAAACCACCCTATCACGTTCACGTTCATAACTTAAGGTGCAATGTTTAAAGTGTTTGTTTGTTTAAACCATTTCAAATGTTACAGTTCTGTACAAGCAGATGACCGCGTGGACTACAATACCAGGTCAAAATGATAAGATGACTAAGATGAATTTGAGGATATCAAGCGTGGGGGGAGCGATTTTACTATTGCTATACTAATATTGCAGTACATAGCGCTTTCTCTCCATGTAAAATTACAAAAATTAAGTTGTCGCCAGAGTTCAGGCCATTTCTCGGCACAGAGACGAATAAAAAAACAAATAAAACAAATAAAAAACAAAAAACAAATAAATAAAGAACAAATAAAAAAAACACTAACTCGGAACATTTGCGCTCGTTCATATTTTAAGTACACTCTTTGTGTCGCACCTTGGTAGTAGGGAAATTTAACCGCAGTTTGCCACCAATAACACATCCCGAGTAAATTATAATGAATTTACTACAGTGGTTAAGTAATGCAGCACTTAATCTTCTAATCGATCCTAATGTCGAACACTGTTAGATTGAACATTGAGACAACAATTAGACCATGACAAACAATTAAAGCATTGAACAGCATAAGCTAGTTATGAAATGTATAGCTCTAGTCGTGATTGTGTGCTCAGTCACGTACTGCCTAAATACGCACATTTCAATATTATTTTGTCTCACACAACTGAGAGCTTTCAAAATGGTTTAAAAGCATTTGAATAAATTGAAATGCCAAAATTAGAGTGCCTACTTAAACGAACATAAACACTCGCCCTGATAGAAAACGAACATGTGGATTTCCTACAACTATAATGGCATTGAACACCCAAAAGTGACACGCTGATAATAATTAGCATTCCCCTTTTTTTTATTTTGTTCTTCTATTTTTCAAATGAGGAGGTCGTATTTCGAAGCTTTTTTATCCCAAATTGTTCGAAATTTGACGGTAAATTTTGCCATTAATTCAATTAAAATATCTATAAGTAAGTAATATCTGGATGTAAACCTGTGCTATGTTAAAAAACGCACATGTATTAATAATATTTCTTCATCTTGATTTGGTGTCGACGATACCGTAAAATCACCGAACTCTTCAAGGTAGTCGCAGGAAAGCTCGATTTGATCCCATCCTGTTCCATCACTCTACTCTTCGGCAGAGCAGGGTGAAGCGATAAAGAGTAATAAAGAAGCTTAAACTATGGTGCCTGGAACGCGTCTCCGACTGGTGTGTTTAGCGCGCCCAAAAAAGTGGTCCCTCGATTTTTGCCTGATGACGTCATACAAGTGTCATGCTGTTGCCGGTCACAATCCTGGCGGCGTCCCAACAGTAGTGGTGTATATGGCAGACGCCTGTTCTGCTGTAGGTCGCTCTCCACTGTGACAGTCCACGGAAGATAGAGCAGCCGGAAGCTGGGACGCCTGGGACGCCGTGACGACAGCGACACTCGTGTTCGCTTGTGCTTTTCGCCAGCATTTCTACGCCCAACCGCCTGGATCGCGACAGGCAACAGCATGACACTCCGGTTTCTTTTCTGTGACGTCATTTTGTGCCACTTGGGCACAACTATTAATGTATGGGCGGGATAGGACGCTAAACACACCAGTCAGAGACGCGATCCAGGCACCATACTTAAACTGACCCCCCCCCCCCCCCCCCCCCCCCCTCCTTCCGCCTTTTTTGAAATCATGGTGCATGTCTTTCACCGCTACAAAAACACAGCCTTCCTTTATCTAGGAGAAGGAAGTATGCCCCAAACGGCCAACTGGAACTGCGGCTTTTGTCGTAAACCAGAAGTACAATGGCGTGTTGGTCTAGGTGAACCTTGACGAGATAACTTATACGACCCTCTTCGTCAGTATTGCGAAATATTAAAGGAAGATGGGACGGCATTTTCTAAAGCCATTGGAGTTTTTTTTTTTTTTTTTTTTTTCTTGTATCGGGACATTAAAGTGTGGAGTTCATCGAATAAATTTGAGTCGTCGAACATTTTAGCCGTCAGCGTTTTTCGGAGTTCTTTGGATATATCCGAAAATACAAAACCCCAGGTATAATGAACTAATCAAAGTTGAATTTGTAAAGCCATAACAATTGCCGTACTTCAGTTGTGAACTCAATTTATGCCTGTGGAGCAGGTTAATTATGATAAAAGTGTCGAGAGCGATACAGCGATAATTTCAGATTTAACTTATATCTTAATTATTCGCATCTCCGCTAGTCTATACTTGTATTAATCTGGTGTTAAACAAACGATCACTTTTATCCATCCTACTTTTTATTAGTATAAAAAACTCACGTATGCTTTTGGAAATAAAAAAAAAAAGCTCATTACCTCTGCATATATCTAAACAATCGCCTTCCCTCTCAAACACATTTGAATCTTCGGTTCTTTCCGTTTCCCAGTATAACTTGACACATCTCCCTCGATGTGAATTGTAAGTCCACTTGTGATTTTTCGCTTTGACAGCGGTTTCCTTTGGGGTTTCAAAGCAAAAACTTGGAACGTGACCTGTGGGTAAACATTAAACAAAAAATTGCTTTTCGTTTTCCTGTTTACGTATCCATTCGTACATATCATCTGCTTTCATCTGTTGATAATATACACATGAAAAATATGCCTCATAAAGTTAACCATTTTCAATTTCAAGACCTCCAGGTAATAGCTGCTTTAGCCTACGAGGTTCTTTTATTTATTTACTTATATATTAATTTATTGAGTTATTTTACCCCACGCGGGAAAGAAGTGTTAGGCCTCACGCTTATTTCTGGAGCACTTCCTCTGAGATTTCAATTATTTTTCCTAGCCCTCAAAACAAACCGTCAGGAATGACCTTATACTACCTAAATATCTAAAACAATTAAGATTGAGAAAGCCTAACCCAAGCTCCAAATCGGGCTCTAAAATTAGGGCCCACAACGAAGCCCCTCGTGGAGCTCATAGGGGCCTAAGGGCCTCCCTCATGGGACACACAGTGGGCCCACGTGGGCAGCCATTGAGGTATCGCCGTGAATCTTATTTCGTTTGCAGTCGTTTCGTAATTTCCCCGGACAATGTAGGATCTATTATCGACTGCTCGTTTGCCTAGGTAGCACAGATTCATACTGAGGTTCTACGGCGATAAACAGGTGTTTTCAGCGTAAAACGGCAGTATTGGTCTGCCATAAATGCCTCGTTCCCCTATTATGTGGGGTATTGCAGTGCATCAAAAACAGGGCAGGCCTCGCTTTGTCTGTTTGTCTATAAAAAAGTTATCATATTTTTTTTAGTTTTATGAATATGCGTTATTTGATAGATTGACAAAAGGTCTTCAGCAAGAACTTAAAAAATTGGGCATTTCCAGTTTACGAGAACGAACAGAAAGCTTAAAATAAATAACCCTTTTTGGGGATGTAATGAGGATAATCTGCCAGTTGAGCTGAATAGAGACACCGGGTTATGACACCCGATGAACGTGTTTTTAAATTCTTTTATAATTGAATTTTTAAATTATTTTATAATTATAATTCCTTTTTCGTGCCCTAAATTATAATTATGAATGATATGGAATGAAATTAAAACCATGTCGTAGTAAACTTTTCAGGATGTGCAATAAATATGCTCAATAGTTCCGGAAAATGAAATTTCTAGAATTACACAAGGATTTCAAATTGGGCATTCCCAATCTTTTCCCGCTTGGAGCCCATGCGTATGCTAACCTTGCCCCCAAAGCGCCGACGGGGGGCTCACGTAATACTTCGTAGGGCAGCTCGAGCTAGACACGTCTAGGCTCTGCTCCCGTATGTTCCACATCTTCGCTAAATCTCTTAGGGCGTCGACGATGGATCCAAAGAGGTATTGCCTGGGCAATCAAAGTTTGGCACGCCCACATGTTTCCCGGTGGAGCCCTCGTCTGTGGTAACTCTGCACCCGTATAGCCGAGTGAGACCCAAGTGGGCATTGAACGGGCAGCCCGCGTTGGGCACATCCACGCGCTGCCCCGCGAAGCCCTCCTCTGTGCAATTCGAGCCCAGCGGGACATTGCGTGGGCAGGCCAAGGGAAAACATGCTCACGCATAGCCGAAGCGTGGCCCACGGGGGTACTGCATCGGCAGCCAAGGTGGAAGTGCCCTCACCTTTCCCACATCTACGATAACTTTACCTTCGCATAACCGAAATAGTACCTGCAGGAGAATTGCGTGGGCAGTACCAATTTGGCATGCCCACGTTGCAACAAAAAGGGACCCACGGGGATATTGTAGGGGCTGCCATTGCTCAATTTGCCCACGTGGGCCCCGCTTCATGTGCTACCTGGAAATGTCCACCTTTAAGAGACGCGAACGAGGACGGTCTTGAGTTCGGTACTCTAAGCGTAATCAAAATTTGTTTCGGGACAGTTAAAAGGAAAATAAAGCCAAAATAATATAAGATACAATATAATGTGCTAAGAAAAAAACACACACACAAAAAAACCGAAGTTAAATTTTAGCACTTGGCGACGATTGCTAACGCAAGTACTCATGTTGATCTCGAACGGTTATTTACCCGAAAAATTACGATGAACGTTTTCCCAGAAGTTGAAAACCACATGTGATATCTTTATTAAACAAACATGACAAAATTGGACGAAATCTTTCTTAAATATATTTGTACCGGTGTATTCTGGTGCCATTATCATGAACCCGTATTCAAAGCCGTGCTTACCCGCTCCAAGAAAACTCGTGTCACAGAAATTCACTTTCGCACGTTAACCTTCCTCGCGCAAACATTTTAACATATAAAAGACATTTTAAGGCTTTACGGATTTGTTCCAAAAGGGCCGTGAAAGCTACACTAATGCGGTTTAAGCATGCAAGTTAAAGAGCGAGGGGAACATATTATAGTGGGTTAATCGTCATAATAACTGGATTAAAAAATGTTAATTAATATCTTAATAATAGATGATAAATTTATGGTTCTAATCAAAAGCTTTCTGGGCGCCATTGGACGCCACCAGATAAGTAAAGTTTAGGAAGCCTTGAGGCGCGTCGAAAGTGTGGTGGTGCACTGAAGTTACCACTCATGCAGCAAGCAAAAGGCGTTCTTTGACGCGCCAAGAACTCTTTTAGCTAAAAAAAAAAAAAAACAGTTTCGCCTCAAGCAATATCGTTAATGGCCCATTAGATCGGCAACAGTGCGACGAAGAACTCTTTCGCATGAAAAGCTGTACAAGCCGAAAAGTCAATGGGTTCTTCGGTTTGTCCATATTTTGCACCCTAAAAAGTCCTTTAAGCGCTCCCTTAAATGTTTCTTTGTGAAAAACCCATCAGAGGGAAATTTAAGCTTCTTTTGTGATGCGAAAGAGTCCTTCATTGCCCAGTTGCCGTTACATTACACGAGGGGGCAATAGTGCTTGAGCCGAAACAGCTCTTCACGAACTGGTAAAGTTCTTGATGCGTCAAAAACTGTTTCAAAGGCAGATTTTCGGGAGCGTACACAAGAATATGCAGTAAAAAATTCAACAGCGTGTTTACTTAAGAAATGTGTATATAGATGGGAACATTACATTCGGCCACACATAGACGACGGATGTAGCAAAAAATTGAAGTGCGCGCGATAAAGCATTTTTAGATTATTTCCGTTAAATCGGAACTTCCCGTGAAATTGTGCATTGGAACAGTAAGAAAAGCAGTATGTCAACAATCAGAAAATATCGTAAAAAAATTATTGTGAGTTCACTTTTTGAGAACGGTATTACTTCAGTCCCTAATCCTCTAACTTGTAAAAATGGTCAAGCAAGATGCAATAATCACTACTTACTCCTGCACGTTTTGCTGCATTCTGATAAAGACAAAAATCTGTTGGCTTTTCGGTTTTCGGTGCGTCTGCCACCAAACTCATAGTACTGACAGAAGTCAATGCTGTGATTGTAAAACCAACCGGCAATAATTGCACGGCCATTCTCTACTGGGGGTTTCATCTTACAAATATCCGTCTTAGTCTCAGTCGTTCCAGATTCGGAATCACCTGTAATAAAGCACAGCTTCTCATTAATTCACTGGATACAAAATTAAATTCACTGTGGCAAGTTTGAATTTCTACGTTTTATGCATTAAATATGCGTTTCCAGCTTTAACTGAAATCCACTAAAGATAGTTTTCAATGGCAAGCTCGTAACCGCCTTTGATTTTTTATTACAAGCGTAAGCGTAGTCTTGCGAGAAGTAAGAGGAGGTTACAAAGGGCGTCGAAAGTTGAATAATAAGAATAATAGTCTTGATCTTATGTGTCCACAAACAGCGCAGGGCCTTTTGTGTGGTACACAGCAAATGCCCACAAGACAAATAGTATGAGCACTAAGAAAACATAGCTATCCCAAAAAAGCACTCACAAAACAAACATAGAATACATAGCGACATCTGACAAGCAAGATAAGGTAAAAGAAGAAGCGGCACGAAAATACAAATAGAGCTCCCCAAAAGAGATAAAAAAAAAGAAAACGCTCAAAATTGCAAATTACTGGGATCGTGCAAATAAATTCTCTAGATGACGCCGCAAAGTTGACTTGTCACTGAAAATTTCTATAAGCGAACAATCCAACTTATTAAAATTATGCTGCATTTGTATCAGGGGAGACGCGTGAAAAAACGTGGATGGATAGTAATAGTTGCGATTACGGCTCAAACGTGGTGGGGCGTGAAAACATACAGCGCTTAACAAGACAGGACAACCTACAAGCCCACTGACAAGTATGTATAAAAACAAGATATCCCGACAACGCGCCTGTCAAACAGAGTACATAAACCAAGTCTCTTGAGCAGCCGATCGTTGTTATAATAAAACTTACGCCAAAAAAAAAAAACGATCAAAAACGATCGAAAACGATGTGAATAAAACGCTTCTGTTCACATTCGATAGAGCAGGAAGCTGTATCTTTTATACAATTCCAAACTATATATGAAAACTCGAGTTTGGGCGAATTCGACAACAAAATAAACGAACGGTACATGGATACGAAGCATGCATCAATATTATTATTACATTAGTAGGAACCATACATTAATACATGCATTAAAGCATAGGAACATTAGTACATGCATTAATGCATACGAACAATACATTAATACAATTAATAGATGAATAGGAACGATACATGCATAGCAATGAATAATGCATACATGCATAATTGCCGAATGGACTAGGGCAGTAGCCGCTTGGAATTTTCCATGAATTGTACTAATTATCCACTTAATACATTCGTGCAATTTGAACAATTTGGAAATCGAACTCACCAAGTACTGCCCCAATTAATATAAAGATGAGCATTATATTCATGTTAACACCTATTAAAGATTAGAAAACAATCAAATTACGACACTTATTAAGCTGCTGCTACTATCGTCCAGACTAGCTTGTTTATATATGCTTTATCTAAAATATGTATGTTATACAAAGGTGCATATTAAAAAAAAAATAATATTATAGGCTTTAATATCTAACTCTTCCGGCATAGCGTGCGCATGAACTGAAGTTGTGCGTCCTTCTTCCGTGTTGCTGCAGGCTTGCGGTGACGTAGTTTCAGTGTCCATCTGTGCTGCAGTATGAGATCAGCGACCTGCATATTATACAGCGTTTGCAAGCAAAACCTCTTGCCCAAATTAGTTCTAGAAGAGAAAAATGCCGCCGTGAAAAATATTGCTTTTGCAGCTTAGTCAGCAGTCCATGCAGCGTACCAGAGAAATGCCTAAGTTGGCATTGGTTAACTTGGCACATGCTAGGGGCCTAACTTGGGACTAATACGGATTTGCTCCCAGTCGTTAGTTTGCGTCAGAGCACTTTTCTTTGGCGTTTTTGTTGCTTGTTTATGTTTCGCCACATAATTGCTAAAGTGCCAGGCTTTCGCCACACAGGCCACGTATTTACCGAACAACGAGCAGGGAATTTTAAATCTTGCACTTCTTCGGCAGTTTAGGCCTAATCTTGCCACAAAAAATACCAACAACTGGAAGTGAAGCCCAACGATGGCACTTGTTTGGCATTTTAGGCAAAAAGGTACCAGATGACAGCCAAACTGCCATCAATCAAGTCTGACTTTGGCACCTGTGGATGATTGGACGTTGGATGGATGTTAATGGATATATACCCTTTGTAACGCGAGGCAAGATGGACCACCTAGCTCAAGTCAAAAAGACAACCGTGTGATTCTTCCCGCCCTTTTAAAGCCAAGTTCATCCCCCTGACTATCACCAGCGATTGTGGGATATCACCAGGATAAGCTTTGAGGGATCAGATAAAAAACCCCCCCCCCCCCCCCTCCGCCTCTTCCTCTTCCCCCCGGTGAGGATGTCGCCAGTTTTCCTCGGGTCGGACCTTGTCGAAGTCACCCCAGCGCCGGACCCACTGGGGCACAGGGTTTAGATTTTGGGCCGGAGCCACGCCGGGAGGGAGTCCCAATTTTCCTCTCTCCCGCCTGTCCCCAGCTAGTTGTGCGTCATTCAATTTTCCTATACAATTTCCACCGATCTTCTAATCAGCTCTTTGTGATTGTAATCCATTATAAGCAGCCCTTCCATCATAGCCAGCAAACCCCATGGCCCAGGCCAAATTTGTTACCCCTTCAGGGAGGACAGGGCGAAGCCCCGTGCTCTTCAAAACCGAGTGCTCTAATGTCTTGCTCTCATTATGGCAGGTAGCATTTAATGTGTCTGACTCCTGAAATTTTGCCGTATATGTCCTCGTCCTCAAAACTCCCGCTTTATACTCAAACAGTAAAGAACTTCCCAGTGAATCGTCAACCACATTTTCCTTTCTTATTTCCGGTTTTTGTGTACGGTACATTGTTAGAGCTGATTTTTCCGGCATTCCTACCTCCCACATTTTTCTTTCTGCTCTTCAATTCCCTTTCTGCTCTGCCCAATCACTAGAGTGCAGACTTGTTCCCTATCTCAAATACTCTACTCACAATATTGGATTTCAAACACTTTTTGAAGTATCTTGGGATCGTGCAAATATCTTTGATCGAGAGTATTTGATACTCTATTTAATTACATTTCTAAGTACCTTGTACTCATTATTTCAAATACAGTTTTACATTCCGCCATTTTCCGAGTTTTTCTGCATGAAGTGGCGTGGGAAAGGCACGAGCAAACGTGAACATCCCTTTCGAGCAACCAAATCCTGTTCCTAGCTCCGATTAACTACGGTGACTTTGATTGAGCTCGTGAAAAAAAAAATTCGTTGTTTTGCCGATTGTGACTCACATTTCAGCCCAAAGTTTGTACAATTAAGGTTTTCCGCTTACGCCTCCAAAGGTGCCTTTTGTTTCCTAAAGTTTCCCCTGAAAAATCCTTAAACAAGAGGAGTGGTTTTACGGAGGTAAATATTGCTACACTGAGGCGCAACGCAGACCGGGAAGCGACCTACGACAGCAATGCAGACTTGATTGTCAAGAAAATAACAAATAGAAAAAAAAAAGAGAAGTGGGCATACAAAAAGAAGGCTTTTAGTTTAGCTCGTTTTATATTTATTTCCGCTATGGCAAAACTTCGAGGTTTTCTTTTGTTTATTTTCCTTTTGTCGTCAGTTCGTCACGTATTGCTCCCGCGACCACTGTGTGCAAGCGAAGATTGATAAGCAGATAATACGACAGGAAACGAACTAAAAGCTAGATGACCTCTCAAAATCCCAACAAAGCGCCCCCCAACGTTGACTGCCTTTCTGAACGGAGCCTACTTGAAGAAGGGTGCGACCACTGCTGTGTCTATTATGTGGGTTCTCTTTGTTATCCATTCACTCATATCCCTATCCCAAGTTCGTTTATATGAAATCTCCATAATGGGAATATAGATTGGAGCTAACGATGCACGTCTAAGGTGCGCCGCAGGACGTGACATTCAGTGATGTCACTATTGGGCAGGAGATCGAACTATAGGAAGCGCTCTGACCCGTTTGTTTCTAAAGTTCCTCTGTAAATAAGGTACATCTATACAGTATAGAGGTACCTTATTTGCTCCCCCACAACTCGGTGTTGTCTCATATAAGGGCTGTGCGCATGCCCACAGGCCTTATGGCCATGTCCTTGATTTCCTCTACAATAGAGCGCGGGGCACAGTGTAATGTAAAAAATGCTAACAATCGACGAAGTGACGTTAGGTGCTGGATCTGTCCCGAAAGCAGTCGTCAGAGAATGCGAGCTTGACCCACTTCGGCTTTTGTGCAAGGCTGGGCACCGTGCATGCTGCATTTTTTCATGCAGGCCGGAGTTGTAACAAAAGAGCCCCTCCTCCCCCTCACTGGAGAACCCGAACTTCAGCCGAACGCTGACGCCGCGTTCGGTTATGTCGGCCGAGCGCTGAGTCGTTGTATTTGTTGTCCCAATCTGTGTAGTTCTAAAGTTCACTGCTGGGGGCGTCACGGTCTGTCCTCCACCCCAATAGCTAAAGCGACCTTTTTATTTCTGTCCCAAAAATGTTTTGTAACGTGTTTTAGTGATTTTGCCACGCGCGTTGCCGAGCGAGCGCGCGGCCGAATGGTTAAAGCGCTTGGCTCCCGCGCGGAGCCTCCGGGTTTGATTCCAGGGAGCGGACTCCTCTTTTGCTAATTCTTTCAACTTGACATTTTCGTAAGTTTGAGAACCTTGTCTTGTGATCGAGTAGCGAATGTTCTACGCGCCGAACGTTCTACGCCGTATGTTCCAGAAACCTACGCGGGTACAAAAAAAAATGCTCCGCGTTGCGGTCCGGAGTCAGTCTCATCCCAGCGCTCGATTCTGCTGTTTCGCCGACATCGACACCTGCGACGCTAGCCTTTCTCTATTTTGTTTTGGGCACAAGTTCGCCCCATGAAACGTTTAGCTTCTTCAGTTATTCACCGCCTCATCAATTTTCATTCGTGACAATATCCTGCTCCTTATAGTTGGACTAAATAAAATAGCCCTACGAACTTTTTTTTTGCCGTTTTGTGTTGTGACGTGTTAATACACCATTCTGGCAAACCAGATTTGTGCAGCTGTATAATTGTCGTTTTCACTGACGTCAATACAAATCACCCAATGTGTAAGTATCTTCAAAGCAACTGAATTACATTTCTAAGTATTTGTACTCTACTCAATATACTTTTCAGTGAAAGTGACTTGAGCAGTATTTTAAATACTTTATGAAGCAGGTGTTTAGTAACTTAACTTAAATACTTTTATCGAGTATTTTTTCCATCACTGCTAGAGTGTAGGTATTTTATTCATTTATTTATTTATTTATTTACAAATACCCTCAGGGCCCCGAGGGGCATTACAGAGGGGAGTGGTGGTTTAGTGCGAGGCCAAAATTTGTGTTATCTGTGGTGGTGATGATGTGATCGGGAAGGCCATTCCAGTCCACAATAGTTCTGGGTAAGCGTGCACGCTGATGTGCTGTAGATTTGGTTTTCGGTAGGGAAATTTTGCATGCGTGGTCCAGTCTTGAAGAAACATAATTGGTTGGGTTAAGGAGGGACTGATTCAGAGAGGGAGAGTAATACACTTTATGCAGGAGGGAAAGCCTGGACATTTTGCGGTGCAGAGAAAGGTCAGGGAGGGTTAATAGAGATCTCATTTTAGTGAGACTGGAAAAAAGAGAGTGATCGGAAAAAATGAAATGCGCTGCGCGGTTTTGGAAAGCTTCTATTGCATTGGTGAGAGATGAAAGGTGGGGATGCCAGACAGATGAGGCGTATTCTAGTTTAGGGCGAAAAAAAGTAATACAGAGAAGTATTCTGAGGTTAGAAGGACCCGACTTGAGATTACGCCGAATATAACCAAGAAAGCGATTAGCTGAGTATATGATCTTATCAACATGAATATTCCAGAATAAATTATTAGTTAAATAAACACCAAGATATTTACGTTCGGTCGTGGCCTGGAGGACGGTGCCATTTAGTGTTAATGTTGTTACGTGGGGGAGGACGAGCGCGTGAGACATACATGCATGCATTTATTAAATATTTAGGGACATTTGCGAAGTACGGCACCAGTCGGCAATTTTGTTACTGTCGCCCTGGAGTAGCAGGTTGTTGTCGGAAGATTTTATTTGTCTACATATAACGCAGTCATCCGCAAAAAGGCGAATTGAAGAAGAAAGCTGAAGTAGTTGGTCACTAATATAGGTTGGAAAGAGTAAAGGGCCAAGTACAGAGCCCTGCGGGACGCCGGTGGAGACTGGAGCTAAGAAGGAGGAGGAGTCGTTAGCGAAAACAAATTGCGAACGATAGCTAAGAAAAGATTTGATCCATGTTAGAACGAGACGATCTAATTTTAAGGAAGAGAGTTTGAACAAAAGGCGATTGCGAGGGACCTTGTCGAA